AGATACTCAAATCTGTACATTTATTTCACATTTCCCCTCTTCCAGACGACGCATAGCTGAGCCTAAACGGTTCGGCTAACGCGTCTGCCAGGAAGGTTCCCTAGGTTGGGGTGGGGAAGTTCTCCCAACTAAAGCTTGACCCCGTTGACAGCTCAGCTTGCCCCCCTGCCGATGGGAGAGGGCTTCTGTATAGCTCTCTGACTGATCCTAAAGGGTTTGGGTCACCACTGGCCAGCAGATCCCCCCGCGGATCCATTTAATTCACTGGCCACTGACTAACTACTGGAAGGGTACATGCAAACCTATCATTGTGGGCTGTCATCATTTCCAGCCACTGGCCAGGGTCATCTGGTGGTTCTCTATCAGCTGCAACACCCAGATGCCTGAGCCTGGTATAAGGTTGTTCCTGGGTGATCTGGACCTGGTTCCATGGCTTGGATACCAGAACCTCCACCCTTGGACCTGTCTCCCACACTTCTGCTCTTTCTCCTTCAGACAGAGACCGGTCAGCACAACCCCTGAGCTCCTCCGGGCTGACATTGAACCTATCAGCCTGCGAGAATACAGTGTTGTCAGCTCCAGCCTCTGAGAAAGCAGATTCAAAGGGGGTCAGTGTTCCCCCATCATCCTGTGATCCTCCCTTTGCTGTGCACAGCAATGAGTCCTCAATCATGATCCTCATAGCTGTGGGGACAAAGGATAAATCCACAGAAGACTTTATTCCACCCGGGGTCATCCTCTGACCCGGGCCACACCCTTCTACTCTGTCCTCCTCAGCAGAACATCTGTCAGCACCACCCTGAGCTCCTCCGGGCCAACCTCAAACCTATCAGCCTGGAAGGGCTCAGTGATGTCAGCTGCAGCTGCTGGGGTGGAAGACACTGATTGGGCTGAATTTGCCCCAACATCCTGCAGACTTCCCTCTGCAACACACAGAAATGAGTCTGCACTGGCAGCACCCGCGACTGGTGACAGAGGGGAAGGTTACAGGAGAAAGGATCTCACTAGGGTTGTCCTCTGACCCACGTCACACACCAGGGGTTGTCCTCCGACCCACGTCACACACCAGGGGTTGTCCTCCGACCCATGTCACACGCTAGGGGTTGTCCTCCGACCCACGTCACACGCTAGGGGTTGTCCTCCGACCCACGTCACACGCTAGGGGTTGTCCTCTGACCCACGTCACACGCTAGGGGTTGTCCTCTGACCCACGTCACACACCAGGGGTTGTCCTCTGACCCACGGGGGGTTGTCCTCTGACCCACGTCACACACCAGGGGTTGTCCTCTGACCCACGTCACACACTAGGGGTTGTCCTCTGACCCGCGTCACACCCTTCTACCCCGTCCTCAGCAGAGCGTCTGTCGGCACACCTGAGTTCCTCTGGGCTGGAATCAAATGTAACAGCCTCTGGAAACTCTGTGCCGTCAGCCCCAGCTACTGAGGGGGTAGAGTCAGACTTAAACCCTCACCCTGTGGTCCCTCCTCTGTGCTCCACAGCCCAGGATCCAAAATGGCATTACTGGTATCTGTGGTGTCAGGGGAGCAGACAACAGAAAAATTCATCCCACAAGGAGATAGAGGCACACAACACTGGTCTATACCAGGACTTACTGAAACACAATGTGCCTTTTTCCCCGCGAACTTCAGAAAGTTCTGTTTCTTTACATAGGGGTACACAACCAACTTCCTTTTGCCCATGCAACCCCATCCTGCCATTCACTGCTGGTGGTCCTTCAGCCAGACCCCTGAGATCCTCTGGGCTGCCATCAATTTGTACAGCTTCAGGGGACCTAGAGCTATCTGCCACAGGGGACAGGTGGATACCAGTCTGAGGAGACCTTAGGCCCTTTGGGCCAGGTTCACAAGGGTCCAACTCAGCTAGTTTGGGCCCTTCCACAAACAGTTCCTCTGTAGCAGTGGGCAATGACTGGTCCGGGGCCACCTGGAGGGCACCCCGAGTCACCACTGCAGCAGAGGGAAGGTCTGCCTTGCACATGTCATTACATTTGGCATCACATAACACATTGTCAGTTGCAGAGTCCTCTGTGACTTTAAACTCTTCTCCAGGCCTTGACCCCAGACAGCCACTAGAGCCAGGCCCTGGTACACAGTCCTTCACCCCCTGACCCTCCCCAGAATTCCCAGTGTTCATGGAGTCTTCAATCAGTCTTTTACAGGAGTCCAGGGCCTCAGGTGGCAATGTAGGTTCTAGGGGGGCTTGATATGGCTCATAATGGGCTACCAACCGTCCCAGGTCAGTACCCAATAATACTCTAGTGGGAATGGCATCTGTTACACCCACTTCTCTCATTCCTCTCCCAGCTCCCCAGTCTAGATAAACACAGGCCGTGGGGACAGTTGGGTTGATGCCCCAACCCCCCTTACAGTCATGGTCTTACCAGGGAGAAGATCCTCAGGGCTCACCAGTTCTGGGCGCACTAAAGTCACCTCCGCTCCGCTGTCCCTCAGGCCGGTAGTAACTCTGCCACCCACAGTGACAGGCTGCAGGTTATCGGCGAGCCCTCCGGCATCCCTGGAAACACACAAAACAGTAGACTCCGGGCCGGTTGTCCTGGTAGGTTGTGGGGCAGCCTTCTTTTTCTCAGGGCAGGATACACTAAGATGACCTATCTGGTGGCACAAAAACATCTCCGGGTATCCACAGTTGTTGGGGCGGCTCCTGAAGGTCTGGATGCCTTGGTCTTCTGATGTTCTGAGAAGAGGGTCCACTTGCTTCTCCTCCTTTCCAGCTGGGTGAAGTAGTACTCCGGTTGACAGTTATCCTGTTAGCCGCATAGGAGTCAGCTATTTCTGCTGCTTGATTCACTGTCTTGGGATCTCGGTCCAGTACAAACTGCCGGACCTCAGAAGGACATGTCTGTAGGAACTGGTCCTTAATCATTAGTTCCTGTAGGGCGTCAAAGGTGCTTACGGACAGGTCATGTGATCAGGGGTTAGTACGGGGGGGGGGGGGGTCACGTCATGTGATCACATTATTGCCTCCGGTGAGTCATGTATGACAGAGACGGGTGAGTCATGTATGACGGAGAGACGGGTGAGTCATGTATGACGGAGAGACGGGTGTGAGCCATGTATGACGGAGAGACGGGTGAGCCATGTATGACGGAGAGACGGGTGAGCCATGTATGACGGACAGACGGGTGAGCCATGTATGACGGACAGACGGGTGAGCCATGTATGACGGACAGACGGGTGAGCCATGTATGACGGACAGACGGGTGAGCCATGTATGACGGACAGACGGGTGAGCCATGTATGTGTTGGGGATACAACAGCATGTACTATAATGTACTATATATAGTATTGTGTGTTAATATCACTTGACCAGTAGATGGCGCTGTACCCAACTAGTAACCTTAGTGTACAGCGCCATCTACTGGTCAAGTGATATTAACACACAATACTATATATAGTACATTATAGTACATGCTGTTGCATTCCCAACACCCCTTCTCAACGGCATGTGCATAATTATATGACATTTAGTCTCTTTTGTAGAAAACAATGACGTTCCCTTGGCAGAGGTTTGGTGAGTGCGTCTGCAGTCATCTCCTCTGATGGGCAGTACTGGATGTCGATGACCCCTTGTTCTTGCATGTCTCTGAGCAGATGATATCTTACATCAATGTGATTGGTTCTTGGGTTAATCTTCTCAGAGTGTGTAAGCTTTATGCATCCATGTCTATATTCAAGGAATCAAGAGAACAAATGGACATACATCCTAATATATGTCGATGACATCTTGACGTGTTTTGAACAAGAAGGGGACTATGACCAAATAGTTCACAAACTGAAACAAAATTTTGAAATGAAAGAGTTGGGGAACATTACTCACTACCTAGGAATTCAAATAGAGCGGGAAGAGGATGGAAGCGATCTTCTTAACCAAAGTCAGAAAATTACAGAAATGTTAGAATAGTTTCACATGCAAGATGCAAAGGAAGCGAAAACACCAATGGAACCAGATTATCTAAAAAACAATGGAACAGAAAACTTGTTACCCAACAATGATTATTACCGCAGGGCAATCGGAAAATTGCTATACATCGCCACCGTGACAAGACCAGACATCGCCCTAGCAGTGGGAATACTTTGCAGGAAAGTCGCAACGCCGTGTCAACGCGACTGGAATGCAGTAAAGAGGGTAATGCAGTACCTAAAGGGAACAAATCGGATGAAGCTGCGACTTCCAGCATCGTCAAACCCAAAACTGATTGGATATGTGGAGGCCGATTGGGCTGGAGACACCACTGACCGCAAATCTACAAGTGGTTCCATCTTCCAGTATGGACAAGGAACCATAAGCTGGTCTAGTCGGAAACAAGTGACTGTTGCGCTCTCTTCAACTGAAGCGGAATACATAGCAGCAGCACATGCATGTCAAGAAGCCATTTGGATTCGTCAACTTCTACTAGACATGGGACTGAATATGTCACAAGCCACACCCATCATGGAAGACAATCAGGGATGCATAAAGCTTACACACTCTGAGATTAACCCAAGAACCAATCACATTGATGTAAGATATCATCTGCTCAGAGACATGCAAGAACAAGGGGTCATCGACATCCAGTACTGCCCATCAGAGGAGATGACTGCAGACGCACAAAACCTCTGCCAAGGGAACGTCATTGTTTTCTACAAAAGAGACTAAATGTCATATAATTATGCACATGCCATTGAGAAGGGGTGTTGGGCATGCAACAGCATGTACTATAATCTACTATATATAGTATTCTGTGGTAATATCACTTGACCAGTAGATGGCACTGTACACTAAGGTTACTAGTTGTGTATCTCTGAAAACTTGTTGGTTCTTCTCTATCATCTCTTCAGGAAGTAATGTGTCTGTAATATGTCTGATGAAATGTGCTCTGTATGTTTGTAATTTAAGCCACACAAGTAAAGTCTGAATTCTGCTATCACTACCAGTGTCTTCTCTAACACATAACCAACAGTATGATGGACAGACGGTGATGGTGTTCTCTCTCTTGGTGACAGATATCACGGAATGGGACAAGGCCTATCCTGCCTGTGGGGGGAGGGAACAATCCCCCATTAATGTGGACACCTGGGACTCCAAGTTTGACCCAACACTGGGGCCCATCCAGGTCTCCGGGTACGACGTGTCACCTGAGGAAAGCCTGAAACTGAAGAACAATGGACACACAGGTGACCAATCCGAGGGGACGTGTCATGTGACCAGATATGTATGATATACACAGATTGTGGGGGAGATTGGATCCAACCAGATCCTCGCCTGTATGACCTGTGCCTGGTCTTATAGAGAGGTGACACCACTTCATGGAACAGATACTGAACCTGCCATGGCATTCCAGCCTCTTATCTCCATATTGTGTCCCATTATTGAGGTCTCTTCTCTCTGTATTGTGTCTCATTATTAAGGTCTCTTCTCTCTGTATTGTGTCCCATTATTGAGGTCTCTTCTCTCTGTATTGTGTCTCATTATTAAGGTCTCTTCTCTCTGTATTGTGTCCCATTATTGAGGTCTCTTCTCTCCGCATTGAGGTCTCTTCTCTCTGTATTGTGTCCCATTATTAAGGTCTCTTCTCTCCATATTGTGTACCATTATTGAGGTCTCTTCTCTCTGTATTGTGTCCCGTTTTTGAGGTCTCCTCTCTCTGTATTGAGGTCTCTTCTCTCCGTATTGTGTACCATTATTAAGGTCTCTTCTCTCCGCATTGAGGTCTCTTCTCTCTGTATTGTGTCCTGTTTTTGAGGTCTCTTCTCTCTGTATTGAGGTCTCTTCTCTCTGTATTGTGTCCCGTTATTGAGGTCCATTTTCTCCACAGTGGTCTTGCAGCTTCCAGACTCTCTGCAGATAAATGGAGGTCTCGCCAACACGTACCGGGCGGCTCAGCTGCACTTCCATTGGGGCTCACACAGCAGCCCGGGCTCCGAGCACACTGTCAATGGGCAGAAATTCCCCGGAGAGGTCAGTTAGTAGGAATATACTGATTGATATTTCTGTATAGACAGTGTGTTCCACTCCATTATAGAGGGATGGTCACCACAGCAGTATGACTGGCCTTGTCTGGTAATCATTTTGGTGACCATTAGTACCAACCTCCCAGTGAGCAGAGATCATACCGTGTAATGGTGAGTCGTGGTGCCTGGTTATCGTGTGTATGGCCCTCCATGATAGTACATGTTCTCAGTCCTTGTATTAGAAACAGAACAGCATAATTAGACTGGTTTGGTTGAAGGGATACTTTGAGGTCCCAGAGAAAGGATGATGATTAGGGGTTGGAATTGCAAGGCTTCGGGTTAGAGTTAGAAAGATGGTACCATGGGTCATGATTAGGAGGTAGATGTGGGGGTCATGGTTAGAAGGTAGATGTGAGGGTCATGGTTAGAAGGTAGATGTTGGGGTCATGGTTAGGAGGTAGATGTTGGGGTCATGGTTAGAAGGTAGATGTTGGGGTCATGGTTAGGAGGTAGATGTGAGAGTCGTGGTTAGGAGGTAGATGTTTGGGATCATGGTTAGGAGGTAGATGTTGGGATCGTGGTTAGGAGGTAGATGTGGGGGTCATTTTAGGAGTTAGATGTGAGGGTCATGGTTAGGAGGTAGATGTGGGGGTCATGGTTAGGAGGTAGATGTGAGGGTCATGGTTAGGAGGTAGATGAGGGTCATGGTTAGGAGGTAGATGTGGGAGTCATGGTTAGGAGGTAGATGTTTGGGATCATGGTTAGGAGGTAGATGTGGGGGTCGTGGTTAGGAGGTAGATGTTTGGGGTCGTGGTTAGGAGGTAGATGTTGGGTTAGTGGTTAGGAGGGGTAGATGTGGGGTCGTGGTTAGGAGGTAGATGTGAGGGTCGTGGTTAGGAGGTAGATGTTTGGGATCATGGTTAGGAGGTAGATGTGAGGGTCGTGGTTAGGAGGTAGATGTTTGGGATCATGGTTAGGAGGTAGATGTTTGGGGTCGTGGTTAGGAGGTAGATGTTGGGGTCGTGGTTAGGAGGTAGATGTGAGGGTCATGGTTAGGAGGTAGATGTTTGGGATCATGGTTAGGAGGTAGATGTGGGGGTCGTGGTTAGGAGGTAGATGTTTGGGATCATGGTTAGGAGGTAGATGTTTGGGGTCGTGGTTAGGAGGTAGATGTGGGGGTCGTGGTTAGGAGGTAGATGTGTGGGGGTCGTGGTTAGGAGGTAGATGTGAGAGGTCGTGGTTAGGAGGTAGATGTTTGGGATCATGGTTAGGAGGTAGATGTGAGAGTTGTGGTTAGGAGGTAGATGTTGGGGTCATGGTTAGGAGGTAGATGTGGGGTCGTGGTTAGGAGGTAGATGTTGGGGTCATGGTTAGGAGGTAGATGTGAGGATCATGGTTAGGAGGTAGATGTGGGGTCGTGGTTAGGAGGTAGATGTTTGGGATCATGGTTAGGAGGTAGATGTGAGAGTTGTGGTTAGGAGGTAGATGTTGGGGTCATGGTTAGGAGGTAGATGTGGGGTTCGTGGTTAGGAGGTAGATGTTGGGGTCATGGTTAGGAGGTAGATGTGAGGGTCATGGTTAGGAGGTAGATGTGGGGGTCGTGGTTAGGAGGTAGATGTGGGGGTCGTGGTTAGGAGGTAGATGGGGGGGGGTCGTGGTTAGGAGGTAGATGTGGGGGTCGTGGTTAGGAGGTAGATGTGGGGGGAGTTCGTGGTTAGGAGGTAGATGTTTGGGATCGTGGTTAGTAGGTAGATGTTGGGATCGTGGTTAGTAGGTAGATGTTGGGGTCGTGGTTAGGAGGTAGATGTTGGGGTCGTGGTTAGGAGGTAGATGTGGGGTCGTGGTTAGGAGGTAGATGTGAGGGTCGTGGTTAGGAGGTAGATGTGAGGGTCGTGGTTAGGAGGTAGATGTGAGGGTCGTGGTTAGGAGGTAGATGTGAGGGGGTCGTGGTTAGGAGGTAGATGTGAGGGTCGTGGTTAGGAGGTAGATGTGAGGGTCGTGGTTAGGAGGTAGATGTGAGGGTCGTGGTTAGGAGGTAGATGTGAGGGTCGTGGTTAGGAGGTAGATGTTTGGGATCGTGGTTAGTAGGTAGATGTTGGGATCGTGGTTAGTAGGTAGATGTGAGGGTCGTGGTTAGGAGGTAGATGTTGGGGTCGTGGTTAGGAGGTAGATGTGGGGGTCGTGGTTAGGAGGTAGATGTGAGGGTCGTGGTTAGGAGGTAGATGTGAGGGTCGTGGTTAGGAGGTAGATGTGAGGATCGTGGTTAGGAGGTAGATGTGGGGGTCGTGGTTAGGAGGTAGATGTGGGGGTCGTGGTTAGGAGGTAGATGTGAGGGTCGTGGTTAGGAGGTAGATGTTGGGGTCGTGGTTAGGAGGTATCATGTTGGGGTCATAGCTAGAGGTTGGACTGATAGTTAAGGTGATGATGAAGGGTATGAATGATGGTTAGGTGAAGGGATCAGCGATAAGGTGATGACAAGGGGGTAGGATGATGGTTAGGTGAAGGGATCAGAGATAAGGTGATGACAAGGGGGTAGGATGATGGTTAGGTGAAGGGATCAGAGATAAGGTGATGACAAGGGGGTAGGATGATGGTTAGGTGAAGGGATCAGCGATAAGGTGATGACAAGGGGGGGTAGGATGATGGTTAGGTGAAGGGATCAGAGATAAGGTGATGACAAGGGGGTAGGATGATGGTTAGGTGAAGGGATCAGAGATAAGGTGATGACAAGGGGGTAGGATGATGGTTAGGTGAAGGGATCAGAGATAAGGTGATGACAAGGGGGTAGGATGATGGTTAGGTGAAGGGATCAGAGATAAGGTGATGACAAGGGGGTAGGATGATGGTTAGGTGAAGGGATCAGCGATAAGGTGATGACAAGGGGGTAGGATGATGGTTAGGTGAAGGGATCAGCGATAAGGTGATGACAAGGGGGTAGGATGATGGTTAGGTGAAGGGATCAGCGATAAGGTGATGACAAGGGGGTAGGATGATGGTTAGGGAAATGTTATATGTTTTGAATAATCCTTAGTGGTTGGGTTGAAGAGAGAAACTGTGAATTAGGAGTAAGGTTGAGGATTAGGGGGTATAATTTCAGGGTTTTTGAGGAATTAGAATTAGGTTCATCTGTTGGGTTAGGGTTGGGAATTGGGGTCATGATTGAGACTTAGTTGTTAAAGCAGAAGTGCGCTATCTGACCCTTGGTGCTGCACATTGATCAGCTATTGATCAGCTATGACATTGGCCATTCGAAGGCTAGAAAGCTGAGTTGAGAACTGACATAGAGCACACTGAGACTGAGAGTTCTAACCAGAGACATGCCTTGAATGTTTCATTCACTGGACTTGGACTAGGAAATGCGAACTGCTGGAAGAATAGGATTTAAATCTGTGGGTTTAGTTTTGGTGTCTTGTTCTAGGTTGGAATGACAGCTATGGTGATGTTGAGGGTTTATGTGATGGGTATAGTCAGACTTAGGGGTTAGTTTAAGGCAATGGTCTCCAAACTGCAGCCCGGGGGCCTAATGTGGTCCTTTTTGCTTGCCTTTATCTGGCCTTTGGTGCACTATTCCACCATCTGACACCAATAATGGAGCACCATTTTTTTCCAAAGTCAACATCAATGGGGTCATTCTTCTCATTGATATCAACAATGGGGTACTGATGCCGGGGCATTTTCTACTCCCACTGGCCACAGTCCAGCCCCCCCCCCCCCCCCCCCCCCTTTGCCTAAAGGACAATAAAACTGACCCTTTGCATAAAAGGTTTGGAAACCCCCAGTTTAAATGGTAGGAGGTAGGTTGAAAGATAATGTTAGGATAGGGTGAGGGTTAGGATATAGGATGATGAATAGGCATGAAGGTCAGGAGATATGATGATGGCTAGGTATTGGGGATTAGGGTTGGGATATTGGATGATGTGTAGGGATTAGGGTTGGGATATTGGATGATGTGTAGGGATTAGGGTTGGGGGTAGGGTTGGGATATTGGATGATCAGTAGGGATAGGGTTGGGGGTAGGGTTGGGATATTGGATGATCAGTAGGGATAGGGTTGGGGGTAGGGTTGGGATATTGGATGATCAGTAGGGGTAGGGTTGGGGGTAGGGTTGGGATATTGGATGATCAGTAGGGATAGGGTTGGGGGTAGGGTTGGGATATTGGATGATCAGTAGGGGTAGGGTTGGGGGTAGGGTTGGGATATTTGATGATCAGTAGGGATAAGGGTTGGGGGTAGGGTTGGCATAATATTGATGATGTGTAGGGAGAAGGGTTGGGGGTAAGGTTGGGATATTGGATGATGTGTAGAGATAAGGGTTGGGATATTGGATGATCTGTAGGGATAAGGGTTGGGATATTGGATGATCTGTAGGGATAGGGGTTGGGATATTGGATGATGTGTAGGCATTAGTGTTGGGATATTGGATGATGTGTAGGCATTAGTGTTGGGATATTGGATGATGTGTAGGGATTAGGGTTAGGGGTAAGGGTTGGGATATTGGATGATCTGTAGGGATAAGGGTTGGGATATTGGATGATCTGTAGGGATAGGGGTTGGGATATTGGATGATGTGTAGGGATTAGTGTTGGGATATTGGATGATGTGTAGGGATAAGGGTTGGTGTATTGGATGATCTATAGGGATAAGGGTTGGGATATTGGATGATCTGTAGGGATAAGGGTAGGGATATTGGATGATCTGTAGGGATAGGGGTTGGGATATTGGATGATGTGTAGGGATTAGTGTTGGGAACATATTGGATGATGTGTAGGGATTAGGGTTGGGATATTGGATGATCTGTAGGGATAAGGGTTGGGGGTAGGGGTGGGATATTGGATGATCTGTAGGGATTAGGGTTGGGGGTAGGGTTGGGATATTGGATGATCAGTAGGGATAAGGGTTGGGTTATTGGATGATCTGTAGGGATTAGGGTTGGGATATTGGATTGATCTGTAGGGATTAGGGTTGGGATATTGGATGATCTGTAGGGATTAGGGTGGGGGTAGGAGTGGGATATTAGATGATCTGTAGGGATAAGGGTTGGGATATTGGATGATCTGTAGGGATTAGGGTTGGTGGTAGGGGTGGCATATTTGATGTGTAGGGATAAAGGTTGGGGATAAGGTTGGGATATTGGATGATCAATAGGGATTACGGTTGGGGGTAGGGTATAGGATGATGTGTAGGGATTAGGATTGGGGGTATGGTTGGGATATTTGATGATGTGTAGGGATTAGGGTTGGGATATTGGATGATCTGTAGAGATAAGGGTTGTGTTTAAGGTTGGGATACTGGATGATCAGTGGGGGGTAGGGTTGGCATATGTGATGATGTGTAGGGATAAGGGTTGGGATATTGGATGATCTGTAGGGATTAGGTTGGGGGTAGGGTTGGGATATTGGATGATCAGTAGGGATAAGGGTTGGGTTTAGGGTTGGTATACTGGATGATCAGTGGGGGTAGGTTGGTTGGGATATTGGATGATGTAGGGTGTAGGGATTAGGGTTGGAGGTAGGGGGTATAGGATGATGTGTAGGGATTAGGGTTGGGGATAAATTTGGGATATTGGATGGTCTGTAGGGATAAGGGCTGGGGGCAGGGTTGGCATATTTGATGTGTAGGGGTTTAGGGTTGGGGATAAGGTTGAGATATTTGATGATGTGTAGGGATAAGGGTTGGGATATTGGATGATCTGTAGGGACTGAGGTTGGGGGTAGGGTTGGGATATTGGATGATCAGGGGGGGTAGGGTTGGGATATTAGATGCTCAGTAGGGATTAGTGTTGGGATATTGGATGATCTGTAGGACTGGGGTTGGGAGTAGGGTTGGGATATTTGATGATCTGTAGGGATAAATGTTGGGGGTAGGGTTGGTGTATTGGATGATCAGTAGGGATTATAGGGGGTTGGGATATTGGATGATGTGTAGGGATAAGGGTTGGGGATAAGGTTGGGATATTGGACGGTCTGTAGAGATAGGGGTTGGGGGCAGGGTTGGCATATTTGATGTGTAGGGATAAGGGTTGGGATAAGGTTGGGATATTGGATGATCTGTAGGGATGAGGTTGGGAGTAGGGTTGGCATATGTGATGTGTAGGGATTAGGGTTGGGATATTGGATGATCTGTTCTATTGTACAGCGCTGAGCAAACCCTTTGGCGCTATATAAACTCAATGTAATGTAATGTAATGTGTATAATCTGTAGGGGATAAGTGTTGGGGGTAGGGTTGGGATTATGGATGATCTGTAGGGACTGAGGTTGGGGGTAGGGTTGGCCTATGTGATGTGTAGGGATTAGGGTTGGGATATTGGATGATCTGTTAGGGATAAGTGTTGGGGGTAGGGTTGGGATATTGGATGATCAGTGGGAGTAGGGTTGGGATATTGGATGATCTGTAGGGACTGGGTTGGGGGTAGGGTTGGCATATTTGATGATGTGTAGGGATTAGTGTTGGGGATAAAGTTGAGATATTTGATGTGTAGGGATTAGTGTTGGGGATAAAGTTGAGATATTTGTGTAGGGATTAGGGTTGGGGGTAGGGGTATAGGATGATGTGTAGGGATTGGGTTGGGGCAGGATGGACACTGCATTCAGATAAATGACAGCAGTCTCTTCCTTCAGATCCATGTGGTCCATTACTCCTCCAATTTTCAGGGCCTGGAAGAGGCGGTAACCCAGCCTGGAGGCCTGGCGGTCCTGGCAGCCTTCATTGAGGTAGGTGGCCATGAAACTGTGGTTGTCGTGTCTCTGCAGAGAATTGTAAAGTTTGTTGCCCTCAATAGAAACATTTCTGTAGGGAATAACCAAGAATAGTCTTTACCTTCCTGTCTGTCACCAGTAACCCTTCCCATCCCGGTATCAGAGTCTTCCTTGTCCATAAGAGCTTCTGTGAGGAAAAGTCAGAGAACATGTGACAGGAGATCTGACAGAAGGTGCTGGAACTGGAGCTCTGTCTATGGGTCAGTTGGTGATCGGTGGAAGACACAACTTGTCCCTGTGGTCTCCACTCTTTTCATTCCTTGGCCTGTAAATTAACAGTCTTTCATTGTCCAATTTCCTCTGGCCAGAACAGCTAATCTCCAACCAGACACAGTTGCTGCTTCAGGGGTCACAAGTAATTGTGGGTGGATTGGCCATGATGTGCCCTTGTGGAGATCCCATCTGTAATACCCTGCAGTGCCCAGATTGTCCATGATGTGCCCCTTGTGGAGAGATCCCATCTGTAATACCCTGCAGTGCCCAGATTGGCCATGATGTGCCCCTTGTGGAGAGATCCCATCTGTAATACCCTGCAGTGCCCAGATTGGCCATGATGTGCCCCTTGTGGAGAGATCCCATCTGTAATACCCTGAGTGCCCAGATTGGCCATGATGTGCCCTTGTGGAGAGATCCCATCTGTAATACCCTGCAGTGCCCAGATTGGTCATGATGTGCCCCTTGTGTGGAGATCCCATCTGTAATACCCTGCAGTGCCCAGATTGGTCATGATGTGCCCCTTGTGTGGAGATCCCATCTGTAATACCCTGCAGTGCCCAGATTGGCCATAATGTAAGCCCCTTGTGGAGAGATCCCATCTGTAATACCCTGCAGTGCCCAGATTGGCCATGACCTGCCCCTTGTGGAGAGATCCCACCTGTAATACCATGCAGTGCCCAGATGGGCATGATGATGTGCCCTTGTGTGGAGATCCCATCTGTAATACCCTGCAGTGCCCAGATTGGCCATGATGTGCCCCTTGTGGAGAGATCCCACCTGTAATACCCTGCAGTCCCCATATTGGTCATGATGTGCCCCTTGTGGAGAGCTCCCACCTGTAATACCCTGCAGTGCCCAGATTGGCCATGACCTGCCCCTTGTGGAGAGATCCCACCTGTAATACATGCAGTGCCCAGACTGGGCATGATGTGCCCCTTGTGTGGAGATCCCATCTGTAATACCCCGCAGTGCCCAGATTGGCCATGATGTGCCCCTTGTGGAGAGATCCCACCTGTAATACCCTAATACCCTGCAGTGTCCAGATTGGCCATGATGTGCCCCTTTGTGTGGAGATCCCATCTGTAATACCCTGCAGTGCCCAGATTGGTCATGATGTGCCCCTTGTGGAGAGATCCCATCTGTAATACCCTGCAGTGCCCAGATTGGCCATAATGCCCCTTGTGGAGAGATCCCATCTGTAATACCCTGCAGTGCCCAAATTGGCCATGACCTGCCCCTTGTGGAGAGATCCCACCTGTAATACCATGCAGTGCCCAGACTGGGCATGATGTGCCCCTTGTGTGGAGATCCCATCTGTAATACCCTGCAGTGCCCAGATTGGCCATGATGTGCCCCTTGTGGAGAGATCCCACCTGTAATACCCTGCAGTGCCCAGATTGGCCATGATGTGCCCCTTGTGGAGAGATCCCACCTGTAATACCCTGCAGTGCCCAGATTGGTCATGATGTGCCCTTGTGGAGAGATCCCATCTGTAATACCCTGCAGTGCCCAGATTGGTCATGATGTGCCCCTTGTGGAGAGATCCCACCTGTAATACCCTAATACCCTGCAGTGTCCAGATTGGTCATGATGTGCCCCTTTGTGTGGAGATCCCATGTGTAATACCCTGCAGTGCCCAGATTGGCCATGATGTGCCCCTTGTGGAGGAGATCCCATCTGTAATACCCTGCAGTGCCCAGATTGGCCATGATGTGCCCCTTGTGGAGAGATCCCATCTGTAATACCCTGCAGTGCCCAGATTGGCCATGATGTGCCCCTTGTGTGGAGATCCCATCTGTAATACCCTGCAGTGCCCAGATTGGCCATGATGTGCCCCTTGTGGAGAGATCCCATCTGTAATACCCTGCAGTGTCCAGATTGGTCATGATGTGCCCCTTGTGTGGAGATCCCATCTGTAATACCCTGCAGTGCCCAGATTGGCCATGATGTGCCCCTTGTGGAGAGATCCCATCTGTAATACCCTGCAGTGCCCAGATTGGTCATGATGTGCCCCTTGTGGAGAGATCCCACCTGTAATACCCTGCAGTGCCCAGATTGGCCATGATGTGCCCCTTGTGTGGAGATCCCACCTGTAATACCCTGCAGTGCCCAGATTGGTCCATGATGTGCCCCTTGTGGAGAGATCCCATCCTGTAATACCCTGCAGTGCCCAGATTGGTCATGATGTGCCCTTGTGTGAGAGATCCCATCTGTAATACCCTGCAGTGCCCAGATTGGTCATGATGTGCCCCTTGTGTGGAGATCCCATCTGTAATACCCTGCAGTGCCCAGATTGGTCATGATGTGCCCCTTGTGGAGAGATCCCATCTGTAATACCCTGCAGTGCCCAGATTGGTCATGATGTGCCCCTTGTGGAGAGATCCCACCTGTAATACCCTGCAGTGCCCAGATTGGTCATGATGTGCCCCTTGTGTGGAGATCCCATCTGTAATACCCTGCAGTGCCCAGATTGGTCATGATGTGCCCCTTGTGTGGAGATCCCATCTGTAATACCCTGCAGTGCCCAGATTGGCCATGATGTGCCCCTGTGTGTGGAGATCCCATCTGTAATACCCTGCAGTGCCCAGATTGGTCATGATGTGCCCCTTGTGTGGAGATCCCATCTGTAATACCCTGCAGTGCCCAGATTGGTCATGATGTGCCCCTTGTGTGGAGATCCCATCTGTAATACCCCGCAGTGCCCAGATTGGTCATGATGTGCCCCTTGTGTGGAGATCCCATCTGTAATACCCTGCAGTGCCCAGATTGGCCATGATGTGCCCCTTGTGGAGAGATCCCATCTGTAATACCCCGCAGTGCCCAGATTGGTCATGATGTGCCCCTTGTGTTGAGATCCCATCTGTAATACCCTGCAGTGCCCAGATTGGTCATGGTGTGCCCCTTGTGGAGAGATCCCATCTGTAATACCCTGCAGTGCCCAGATTGGTCATGATGTGCCCCTTGTGGAGAGATCCCATCTGTAATACCCTGCAGTGCCCAGATTGGTCATGATGTGCCCCTTGTGTGGAGATCCCATCTGTAATACCCTGCAGTGCCCAGATTGGTCATGATGTGCCCCTTGTGTGGAGATCCCATCTGTAATACCCTGCAGTGCCCAGATTGGTCATGATGTGCCCCTTGTGTGGAGATCCCATCTGTAATACCCTGCAGTGCCCAGATTGGTCATGATGTGCCCCTTGTGTGGAGATCCCATCTGTAATACCCTGCAGTGCCCAGATTGGTCATGATGTGCCCCTTGTGGGGAGATCCCATCTGTAATACCCTGCAGTGCCCAGGACTGGGCATGATGTGCCCCTTGTGTGGAGATCCCACCTGTAATACCCCGCAGTGCCCAGATTGGTCCATGATGTGCCCCTTGTGTGGAGATCCCATCTGTAATACCCTGCAGTGCCCAGATTGGTCATGATGTGCCCCTTGTGTGGAGATTCCATCTGTAATACCCCTGCAGTGCCCAGATTGGTCATGATGTGCCCCTTGTGTGGAGATCCATCTGTAATACCCTGCAGTGCCCAGATTGGTCATGATGTGCTCCTTGTGGGGAGATCCCATCTGTAATACCCTGCAGTGCCCATCTGTAGATTGGTCATGATGTGCCCCTTGTGTGGAGATCCCATCTGTAATACCTGCAGTGCCCAGATTGGGCATGATGTGCCCCTTGTGGAGAGATCCCATCTGTAATACCTGCAGTGCCCAGATTGGTCATGATGTGCCCCTTGTGTGGAGATCCCATCTGTAATACCCTGCAGTGCCCAGATTGGTCATGATGTGCCCCTTGTGTGGAGATCCCATCTGTAATACCCTGCAGTGCCCAGATTGGTCATGATGTGCCCCTTGTGTGGAGATCCCATCTGTAATACCCCGCAGTGCCCAGATTGGTCATGATGTGCCCCTTGTGTGGAGATCCCATCTGTAATACCCTGCAGTGCCCAGATTGGTCATGATGTGCCCCTTGTGTGGAGATCCCATCTGTAATACCCTGCTGTGACGGAGGGTAGGCAGGACAGAACACACAGAGTAGATGGCAAACGCACGAAGCTTTACTGAGACAAACAGATGACAGTCACTTAATAGGGGAATTCACAGGGAGGGTGAATACGCCAGTAAAGGGCAGCAAAGAGGGGCCAACACACTTATAGTCCAATGCCGAGAGCCAAGGAAGAGTCTCTGTAGCAATTGTAATCCAACGGGGGGGGGGGGGGGGGGTCAGCACAGTAACATTTCAAGTAAAACAGGGAGAGAGCAGGTACTCACGGATCCGACAGGGTGCCTGGTCTCCCAGGGATAGAAAGTGGAACACAGGTACCTGTTGGAGTCCGGATCATGCGTGCGGTCTCCCCTTTTAGGGCTGGGTCCTCGGGCAACTGGCAAGCAATCTTGCTATCTCTCCCCTAGGCTGGGGGTCTCTGGATCTCTGGCAGCTAGCAGGCAGTCCCGCAATCTCTCCCATAGGCTGGGGGGTCTCTGGATCCCTGGCAGCTAGCAGGCAGTCCCGCAATCTCTCCCCTAGGCTGGGTGTCTCTGGATCTCTGGCAGCTGGCAGGCAGTGGCTGGGGGTCTCTGGATCCCTGGCAGCTAGCAGACAGTCTTCCCCTGCTCTGGAGGGCCTTAGGCAGTCTTTGGTCTCTGCAGAGTCTGGCCACGAAGGTCCCGCCACAGCTGGGGCTCCTTCCTTCGGTGGCTGCGCAGCGGTGAATACCCCCGGAGCGCCCGGCATCAGCTTCTTAAGCTAATGTCAGATACTCCCTGGTCGTCTAGGCAACCGGGGCGGGCCAAAGCTGGTTTACCTCGTTGCCCGGCAAACGAGGCACGCCCCCTCGTGAGCGCAGACTTTGTCCAGGGACATCCGCAAGCGCTGGAACTTCTGCGCTGCGGATGACAGGGCTGAAGTGGCGACAGCAAGACGCCGTAGCCCGGTACATCTCTGCGGGGAGGGTCGCACCTCCCCATGGAGAGGTGTGAACCTCGCCACCTTCTCCTCTCAGATTGGCCATGATGTGCCCTTGTGGAGATCCCATCTGTAATACCCTGCAGGGCCCAGATTGGCCATGATGTGCCCCTTGTGGAGAGATCCCATCTGTAATACCCCGCAGTGCCCAGAATGGTCATGATGTGCCCCCCACCTTGTCCCAGCAGTTGGCAGCAGAAAGGAGGACAGAACTCCTCCTACACATCCTGCACCTCTCGGTGCAATCACCGTACCCCCTCATTTCTGCCCCCCCCCCCTTTGTCCCAGCAGTTGGTATCAGAGAGTGGACAGAACTCCTCCTACACCTCACTGTGCAGACACAGCACCTCCTCATCTCCGCCCCCCCCCTTGTCCCAGCAGTTGGTAGCAGAGAGGAGGACGGAACTCCTCCTACACATCCTGCACCTCTCTTTGCAGCCACATCACCCCCTCATCTTTGCCCCCCACCTTGTCCCAGCAGTTCGCAGCAGAGAGGAGGACGGAACTCCTCCTACACATCTTTCACTTCTCTGTGCACCAGCAGCACCACCTGTTCTCCGACCCCCCACCTTGTCCCAGCATTTGGAGGCAGAGAGGTGGACAGAACTCCTCCTACACATCCTGCAACTCTCTATGCAGTCGAAGCACCCCCCCAATTCCCCCCCCCCCCACACCTTGTCTTAGCAGTTGGCAGCAGAGAGGAGGTTAGAACTCCTCCTACAGATTCTGCACCTCTCTGTGCAGCCAAAGCAGCCCCCCCCCCCCCCCCCCCCCCCGTCTCTGCCTCCTTTGGTCTCAGCATTCAGCAGACTCTGGCAGCTGACTCCAGCCCCTCCTCTGGTCCTCCTCCAGACTCTGTACTTTCTGCTTCCCAGCTTCACCCCCAGTGTTTCTTCCCAGCAGCAGCACAAGGTAAGGGGGTTCACTGTGATGTATGGAAGGGTGGGGAACTCTTGAGAGTGGGGGGGCTCTTGACATCTGATATAAGGGGGGGTGGGGTGCTCTAGTCATCTACTCTTACAGATAGAACTGGCCCCTTAATGGCAACCATAATGCTGATGTGGCCAGCGATGAAATCCTTGCTGTATAGCAACCGTTTTTGCCTTTATTGCCTCTTCTGCTTCCAAAGATCAATCATAACTTCTACACAAAGCAATCTTTTGTCAATAATGACCTCCAACAAACGTATTTTGGGGTGGAAATCGATCATATTGGGTTGCTGGCGCTGTATTTACACCAATACTGAAAATGAAGGTTTGGCTCCCATTGATTCCAATGGGGTTCAGATTCTGGATCCGGACTTAATGAACCCGAATACGATCGACTCATTTCCGCTCTTCATCCTGCTTGGCAAAATATTGTGTCTGAAAGTCTGTGGGAGCAAAGTGTACCTGTCATACAATTCATGACTTGGAGGATTTCTGATGTTTCCTGACAGGAAGGACCCGACGAGAACGAAGACTACGAGCATCTCCTGACCCACCTAGAGAATGTGAAGGAGGCCGGTGAGTCCATGTCCTCCTACAGATCGATCATCCACCTTCACTATATCTACCATCTATTATCCATCTACAATCTGTCTTTCTGTCTCTCATTGATAAGGTGAGCATGGGGGAGAACACTGCAGGTGAGGGAAGGGTGAAGAGTGAAGGGATGGGGGAAGGGAAGGGGGAGGGAAGGGGGAGGAGAAGGGGAAGGGAAGGGTGGAGGGTGAAGGGAAAGAGTGAAGGAGAGGGGGGAAGGGAAGGGGGAAGGGTGAAGGGAAGGGTGAAGGGGAGGGAAGGGTGAAGGGAAGGAGTGAAGGAGAGGGGGAAGGGAAGGGGGAAGGGAAGGGGGAGGGTGAAGGGAAGGGTGAAGGAGAGGGGGAAGGGAAGGAGGGTGAAGGGAAGGGTGAAGAGTGGAGGGATGAGGGAAGGGTGGAGGAGAGGGGGAAGGGGGGGGGGTGAAGGGAAGGGTGGGGGGGGGAAGGAGAGGGGGAAGGGGGGGGGGAAGGGTGGGGTGGGGAGGGTGAAGGGAAGGGGAAGGGGAGGGGGGAGGGTGAAGGGAAGAGTGAAGGGGGAGGGGGAAGGGAAGGGGGGAAGGGAAGGGGGGAGTGAGGGATGGGGGAAGGGTGAAGGGAAGGGTGGAGGAGGGGGGGAAGGGAAGGGGGGGGGGGGGTGGGGGAAGAGGAAGGAGGGGGGGGGAAGGGAAGGGGTGGGGGGTGGGGGGGGGGTGAAGGAAGGGGGGGGGAAGGGTGGGGGGGGGGGGTGAAGGGGGGGGGGTGAAGTGGGGGGAAGGGGGGGGGGGGGGGGGGGGGGGGGGGGGGAAGGGGGGGGGGGGGGGGTGGGTAAGGTGGGGGTGGAAGGAAGGCTCTGTGGGTAAGGGTGGGGTGGAAGGAAGGCTCTGTGGGTAGGGGGGGTGGACGGGAAGGCTCTGTGGGTAAGGTGGGGTGGAAGGAAGGATCTGTGGGTAAGGTGGGGTGGAAGGAAGGCTCTGTGGGTAAGGGGGGTGTGACGGGGAAGGATCTGTGGGTAAGGTGGGGTGGAAGGAAGGATCTGTGGGTAAGGTGGGGTGGAAGGAAGGCTCTGTGGGTAAGGTGGGGTGGAAGGAAGGCTCTGTGGGTAGGGGGGGTGGACGGGGAAGGATCTGTGGGTAAGGTGGGGTGGAAGGAAGGATCTGTGGGTAAGGTGGGGGGTGGAAGGAAGGCTCTGTGGGTAGGGGGGGGGTGGACGGGGAAGGCTCTGTGGGTAAGGTGGGGTAGATGCCTCCTCTCAGCACTCAGTTCTCATACAGTCTAATGGAAATCTTTGTGTTGCTTTGGTTTCTTCACCTTTATTCCGTCCCCTCTTGGAGTATTAATACTCGGACCGTGTCAGCTGTGATAGTGTGAATGAGCAGTAAAGACAATACTGTAAGTGCCGCCACGTTCCTTGAAGCTATACTCTCCTCCACAGGACAAAGTACGGAGATTCCTGGATTTGATATCCGAGGATTATTACCCCACCAGCTGGACAGGTACTACCGCTACAATGGTTCTCTTACCACCCCACCATGTTACCAGACCGTCAACTGGACCATCTTCAACCAGACTGTCCTCCTGTCTGAGAACCAGGTATGTGTATTCATGGTACTCTCATACCCCGATCACCATGGATAATACTCTCCTACCCCCATCACCATGGATACCACTCCACTACCCCCATCACCATGGATAACACTCTGCCAGCCCTGTCACCATGGATACCCCAACACCATGGATAATACTCTACCACCCCTGTCACTAATGATACTACTCTACTACCCCCCAACACCATGGATAATACTCTACCACCCCCCATCACCATGGATACTACTCTGCTACCCCCAACACCATGGATAGTACTTCATTACCCCATCACCATGAATGAATGATACTCTAATATATCCTCAACAGCAAGGACAGTACTCTACTCTCCCCATTACCATGGATACTACTCTCCTTCCCCCCACACCAAGGATAATACTCTACTATCCCTATCACCATAAAAAAAATACTCTCCTACTCCAACACCAAGGAATAGTACTCTACTATCCCCATTGCCATGTGTACTACTCTCCTACCCCAACACCAAGAATAGTACTCTACTATCCCCATTGCCATGGGTACTACTCTCCTACCCCAACACCAAGAATAGTACTCTACTATCCCCATTGCCATGTGTACTACTCTCCTACCCCAACAGCAAGGATAGTACTCTACTATCCCCATTGCCATGGTACTACTCTCCTACCCCAACACCAAGAATAGTACTCTACTATCCCCATTGCCATGTGTACTACTCTCCTACCCCAACACCAAGAATAGTACTCTACTATTCCCCATTGCCATGTGTACTACTCTCTACCCAACACCAAGAATAGTACTCTACTATCCCCATTGCCATGGGCACTACTCTCCTACCCCACACCAAGAATAGTACTCTACTATCCCCATTGCCATGTGTACTACTCTCCTACTCCAACACCAAGGATAGTACTCTACTATCCCCATTGCCATGGGTACTACTCTCTTACCCCAACACAAGAATAGTACTCTACTATCCCCATTGCCATGGGTACTACTCTCCTACCCCAACACCAAGAATAGTACTCTACTATCCCCATTGCCATGTGTACTACTCTCCTACCCCAACACCAAGAATAGTACTCTACTATCCCCATTGCCATGTACTACTCTCTTACCCCAACACCAAGAATAGTACTCTACTCTACTATCCCCATTGCCATGGGTACTACTCTCCTACCCCAACACCAAGAATAGTACTCTACTATCCCCATTGCCATGTGTACTACTCTCCTACCCCCAACACCAAGAATAGTACTCTACTATCCCCATTGCCAGTGTACTACTCTCCTACCCCAACACCAAGGATAGTACTCTACTATCCCCATTGCCATGTGTACTACTCTCCTACCCCAACACCAAGAATAGTACTCTACTATCCCCATTGCCAGTGTACTACTCTCCTACCCCAACACCAAGGATAGTACTCTACTATCCCATTGCCAGTGTACTACTCTCCTACCCCAACACCAAGGATAGTACTCTACTATCCCCATTGCCATGTGTACTACTCTCCTACCCCAACACCAAGGATAGTACTCTACTATTCCCCATTGCCATGGGTACTACTACTCTCCTACCCCAACACCAAGAATAGTACTCTACTATCCCCATTGCCATGGGTACTACTCTCCATACCCCAACACCAAGAATAGTACTCTACTATCCCCATTGCCATGGGTACTACTCTCCTACCCCAACACCAAGGATAGTACTCTACTATCCCCATTGCCATGGGCACTACTCTCCTACCCCAACACCAAGAATAGTACTCTACTATCCCCATTGCCATGTGTACTACTCTCCTACTCCAACACCAAGGATAGTACTCTACTATCCCCATTGCCATGGGTACTACTCTCCTACCCCAACACCCAAGAATAGTACTCTACTATCCCCATTACCATGGGTACTACTCTCCTACTCCAACACCAAGAATAGTACTCTACTACCCCCATTGCCATGGTGTACTACTCTCCTACCCCCCAACACCAAGAATAGTACTCTACTACCCCCATTGCCATGTGTACTACTCTCCTACCCCAAACACCAAGAATAGTACTCTACTATCCCCATTGCCATGTGTACTACTCTCCTACCCCAACACCAAGAATAGTACTCTACTATCCCCCCCATTACCATGGGTACTACTCTCCTACCCCAACACCAAGAATAGTACTCTACTATCCCCATTGCCATGGGTACTACTCTCCTACCCCAACACCAAGAATAGTACTCTACTATCCCCATTGCCATGGGCACTACTCTCCTACCCCAACACCATGATTAGTACTCTACTACCCCAACACCATGAATAATTCTACTATGCTCCCATTACCAGGAATACCCCCATCACTATGGATATTATTCTAATGCCCCCATCACCATGGATAGTATTCTATTACCCCATCACCATGGATAGTATTCTAATGCCCCCCATCACCATGGATAGTATTCTATTACCCCCATCACCATGGATAGTATTCTAATGCCCCCATCACCATGGATAGTATTCTAGTACCTCCATCACCATGGACAGTATTCTAATGCCCCCATTACCATGGATAGTATCTAATGCCCCCATTACCATGGATAGTATTCTATTACCCCCATCACCATGGATAGTATTCTATTACCCCCATCACCATGGATAGTATTCTATTACCCCCATCACCATGGATAGTATTCTAATGCCCCCATCACCATGGATAGTATTCTATTACCCCCATCACCATGGATAGTATTCTATTACCCCCATCACCATGGATAGTATTCTATTACCCTCCATCACCATGGATAGTATTCTATTACCCCCATCACCATGGATAGTATTCTATTACCCCCATCACCATGGATAGTATTCTATTACCTCCATCACACATGGATAGTATTCTATTACCTCCATCACCATGGATAGTATTCTATTACCCCCACACATGGATAGTATTCTATTACCTCCCATCACCATGGATAGTATTCTATTACCCCCATCACCATGGATAGCATTCTATTGCCTCCATCACCATGGATAGTATTCTATTACCCCCATCACCATGGATAGTATTCTATTACCCCCCATCACCATGGATAGTATTGTATTACCCCATCACCATGGATGGTATTCTAATGCCCCCATCACCATGGATAGTATTCTATTACCCCCATCACCATGGATAGTATTCTATTACCCCCATCACCATGGATAGTATTGTATTACCTCCATCACCATGGATGGTATTCTAATGCCCCACATCACCATGGATAGTATTCTATTACCCCCATCACCATGGATAGTATTCTATTACCCCCATCACCACATAATATTACCATGGATAGTATTCTAAGTACCCCCATCACCATGCATAGTATTCTATTACCCCATCGCCATGGATAGTATTCTATTACCCCATCACCATGGATAGTATTCTAGTACCTCCCATCACCATGGATAGTATTCTATTACCCCCCATCACCATGGATAGTATTCTATTACCCCCATCACCATGGATTAGTATTTCTATTACCCCCATCACCATGGATAGTATTCTATTACCCCCATCACCATGGAGTATTGTAGTACCTCCATCACCATGGATAGTATTCTAATGCCCCCATCACCATGGATAGTATTCTATTACCCCCATCACCATGGATAGTATTCTATTACCCCCATCACCATGGATAGTATTCTAGTACCTCCATCACACCAAGGATGGTATTCTATTACCTCCACACCATCTAACATCACCATGGATAGTATTCTAGTACCTCCACCTCACTATGGGTGACAGGTACTCTTCCATCCAGTACTGTGTCTGATATGTGGATCTCTCCTTCCAGCTGGCCATATTGGAGGACACCATCCACCATGACCATGATCATGTCCTGCAGATGAATTTCCGGGAGCCTCAGAGTCTGAATGGGCGTCTGGTTCTGTCCAGTTTCGATCTCCGGTGTCAGGACGGAAAGCTTCTGGAGAAGGTAGGGTCACCTCTGGAGCTCACATGTTGTCTCTCCATACAGCAACTATATAATACTTCAGGCAGAGGTTAGGTAAGAGACCTCCACCTATGAGGAAGCAGTCTGGGTGGATGAAGAAGACGGACCTCCACCTACGAGGAACCAGTCTGGGTGGATGAAGAAGACGGACCTCCACCTACGAGGAAGAAATCTGGGTGGATGAAGAAGACGGACCTCCACCTAGGAGGAACCAGTCTTGGTGGATGAAGAAGACGTACCTCCACCTACGATGAATCAGTCTTGGTGGATGTAGAAAACGGTCCTCCACTACGAGGAACCAGTCTTGGTGGATGAAGAAGATAGACCTCCACCTACGAGGAACCAGTCTTGGTGGATGAAGAAGATGTACCTCCACCTACGATGAAGCAGTCTTGGTAGATGAAGAAGACGTACTTCCACCTGGAGGACACCATCCACCATGACCATGATCATGTCCTGCAGATGAATTTCCGGGAGCCTCAGAGTCTGAATGGGCGTCTGGTTCTGTCCAGTTTTCGATCTCCGGTGTCAGGACGGAAAGCTTCTGGAGAAGGTAGGGTCACCTCTGGAGCTCACATGTTGTCTCTCCATACAGCAACATCTATTAATACTTCAGGCAGAGGTTAGGTAAGAGACCTCCACCTATGAGGAAGCAGTCTGGGTGGATGAAGAAGACGGACCTCCACCTACGAGGAACAGTCTGGGTGGATGAAGAAGACGGACCTCCACCTACGAGGAAGAAATCTGGGTGGATGAAGAAGACGGACCTCCACCTAGGAGGAACCAGTCTTGGTGGATGAAGAAGACGTACCTCCACCTACGATGAAGCAGTCTTGGTGGATGTAGAAAACGGTCCTCCACCTACGAGGAACCAGTCTTGGTGGATGAAGAAGACAGACCTCCACCTACGAGGAACCAGTCTTGGTGGATGAAGAAGTACGTACTCCACCTACGATGAAGCAGTCTTGGTAGGAAGATAGAAGACGGACTTCCACCTACGAGGACACCATCTTGGTGGGGATGAATGTCCTGAGATGACCTCCGGGAGCCTAGAGTCTGAATGGGCGTCTGGTTCTGTCCAGTTTTCGATCTCCGGTGTCCAGGACGGAAAGCTTCTGGAGAAGGTAGGGTCACCTCTGGAGCTCACATGTTGTCTCTCCATACAGCAACATCTATAATACTTCAGGCAGAGGTTAGATAAGAGACCTCCACCTATGAGGAAGCAGTCTGAGGTGGATGAAGAAGACGGACCTCCACCTACGAGGAACCAGTCTGGGTGGATGAAGAAGACGGACCTCCACCTACGAGGAAGAAGATCTGGGTGGATGAAGAAGACAGACCTCCACCTACGAGAACCAGTCTTGGTGGATGAGAAGATGTACCTCCACCTACGATGAAGCAGTCTTGGTAGATGAAGAAGACGTACTTCCACCTACGATGAAGCAGTCTAGGTGGATGTAGAAGACGGACCTCCACCCTACGAGGAACCAGTCTTGGTGGATGAAGAAGACGGACCTCCACCTACGATGAAGCAGTCTAGGTCGATGTAAAAAGACGGACATCCGCCTACGAGGAACCAGTCTGGGTGGATGTAGAAGACGGACCTCCACTTACAAGGAACCAATCGGGTGGATGAAAAAGATGGACCTCCACCTATGAGGAACCAGTCTGAGTGGATGAAGAAGACGGACCTCCACCTACGAGGAACAAGTCTGGGTGGATGTAGAAGATGTACCTCCACCTACGAGGAACCAATCTGCTTACTCGAAGGTTTAGGTCCATCTTTTTCATCCACCCAGATTGGTTCCTCGTAAGTGGAGGTCCGTCTTCTACATCCACCCAGACTGGTTCCTCGTAGGTGGAGGTCCGTCTTCTACATCGACCTAGACTGCTGCATCGTAGGGTGGAGGTACATCTTCTTCATCCACCAAGACTGGAGGGTACCTCGTTCAGGGTGGAGGGAGGTCCGTCTTCTACATCCACCCAGACTTCTTCCTCGTAGGTGGAGGTCTGTCTTCTTCATCCACCAACACTGGTTCCTCGTAGGTGGAGGTCCATCTTTTTCATCCACACCAAGACTTCTTCCTCGTAGGTGGAGGTCAGTCTTCTTCATCCTTCCAGACTGGTTTCTCGAAGATGGAGGTCCATCATTTTCATCCACCCAGACTGCTTACTCGAAGGTTTAGGTCCATCTTTTTCATCCACCCAGTCTGGGTGGATGAAAATGATGGACCTCCCATCTTCGAGAAACCAGTCTGGAAGGATGAAGAAGACTGACCTCCACCTACGAGGAAGAAGTCTGGGTGGATGAAAAAGATGGACCTCCACCTATGAGGAACCAGTCTGAGTGGATGAAAGAAGACGTAATGGGAGGTCTCTGTCCACCTCTAAGCAGAACTCAATTCTGAGAGGGATCTGCCAAGGCAATCACAACAAATACAGCCTTATGGGTGTTGCACAGTCACAAGTGGGAGGAGTCAACCAAAATGTCATCAGTCACATGACTAGGGGTGAAGCTTTTCTTTGGTCAATAGATGTCTGATGGCTCCGTACTGATAGCCTGTGACTCCAAAATAAACCCAATCCTACATCTTCTCCAATATTCTATCCAATGTGCTGTGATATCCTGCCACCTATCCTATCCTCACCAATCTCCTATCCTGGTCTATCCTCACCAATCTCCTATCCTGGTCTATCCTCACCAATCTTCCTATCCTAGTCTATTCTCACCAATCTCCTATTCTAGTCTATCCTCACCAATCTCCTATCCTGGTCTATCCTCACCAATCTCCTATCCTGGTCTATCCTCACCAATCCTATCCTGGTCTCTCCTCACCAATCTCCTATTCTAGTCTATCCTCACCAATCTCCTATCCTGGTCTATCCTCACCAAATCTCCTATCCTGGTCTCTCTCCTCACACCATCTCCTATCCTAGTCTCTCCTCACCAATCTCCTATCCTAGTCTATCCTCACCAATCTCCTATCCTGGTCTATCCTCCTTCACCAATCTCCTATCCTGGTCTATCCTCACCAATCTCCTATCCTAGTCTATTCTCACAATCTCCTATCCTAGTCTCTCCTCACCAATCTCCTATCCTGGTCTATCCTCACCAATCTCCTATCCTAGTCTATTCTCACCAATCTCCTATCCTAGTCTCTCCTCACCAATCTCCCTATCCTGGTCTATTCTCACCAATCACCTATCCTGGTCTATCCTCACCAATCTCCTATCCTGGTCTATCCTCACCAATCTCCTATCCTGGTCTATTCTCACCAATCACCTATCCTGGTCTATCCTCACCAATCTCCTATCCTGGTCTATCCTCACCAATCTCCTATCCTAGTCTATTCTCACCAATCTCCTATCCTAGTCTCTCCTCACCAATCTCCTATTCTAGTCTATCCTCACCAATCTCCTATCCTGGTCTCTCCTCACCAATCTCCTATCCTGGTCTCTCCTCACCAATCTCCTATCCTGGTCTCTCCCTCACCAATCTCCTATCCTGGTCTCTCCTCACCAATCTCCTATCCTGGTCTCTCCTCTCACCAATCTCCTATCCTAGTCTCTCCTTCCCAATCTCCTATCCTGGTCTATCCTCACCAATCTCCTATCCTGGTCTATCCTCACCAATCACCTATCCTGGTCTATTTCTCACCAATCACCTATCCTGGTCTATTCTCACCCAATCTCCTATCCTGGTCTCTCCTCACCAATCTCCTATCCTGGTCTATCCTCACCAATCTCCTATCCTGGTCTATCCTCACCAATCTCCTATCCTGGTCTCTCCTCACCAATCTCCTATCCTAGTCTCTCCTCACCAATCTCCTATCCTAGTCTCTCCTCACCAATCTCCTATCCTGGTCTATCCTCACCAATCTCCTATCCTGGTCTATCCTCACCAATCTCCTATCCTAGTCTATTCCACCAATCTCCTATCCTAGTCTCTCCTCACCAATCTCCTATTCTAGTCTCTCCTCTCCAATCTCCTATCCTGGTCTATCCTCACCAATCACCTATCCTGGTCTATCCTCACCAATCACCTATCCTGGTCTATTCTCACCAATCTCCTATCCTGGTCTCTCCTCCTCCAATCTCCTATCCTGGTCTATTCTCACCAATCTCCTATCCTGGTCTATTCTCACCACAATCTCCTATCCTGGTCTATTCTCACCAATCTCCTATCCTGGTCTCTCCTCACCAATCTCCTATCCTGGTCTATTCTCACCAATCTCCTATCCTGGTCTCTCCCTCAACCCAATCTCCTATCCTGGTCTATCCTATCTCACCAATCTCCTATCCTGGTCTCTCCTCACCAATCTCCTATCCTGGTCCCTCCTCAACCAATCTCCTATTCTAGTCTATTCTCACCAATCTCCTATCCTGGTCTCTCCTCACCTATCTCCTATCCTAGTCTCTCCTCCCACCAAATCTCCTATCCTGGTCTATCCTCACCAATATCCTATCCTGGTCTATCCTCACCCAATCTCCTATCCTGGTCTATCCTCACCAATCTCCTATTCTATAATCTATCCTCCTCTCCAGTCTCTGGTAGCTCCTCCCCACCATACACACTACAACCTCGTCTGGCAGTGTTTTGCAGTCATAGTCCACACTGCATTCTTATACTCTTTTAACCCTAACCGAACCCAAACCTGACCCACACCCGACCCTAACCGACTCCAACCCAACCCAACCCAACCCAACCCTGACCCACACCCGACTCCAACCCAACCCAACCCTGACCCACAACCTACTCCAACCCAACCCAACCCTGACCCACACCCGACTCCAACCCAACCCAACCCTGACCCACAACCTACTCCAACCCAACCCAACCCTGACCCACACCCGACTCCAACCCAACCCAAACCTGACCCACACCCGACCCTAACCGACTCCAACCCAACCCCAACCCAACCCAACCCTGACCCACACCCGACTCCAACCCAACCCAACCCTGACCCACAACCTACTCCAACCCAACCCAACCCTGACCCACACCCGACTCCAACCCAACCCAAACCTGACCCACACCCGACCCTAACCGACTC